AGAATCCTCCTCGAGTGGCTTCTGCTCCGTGTCCTGGTGTCCAGGTGCCGCCTCTTCCTGAGTGTTCTAAATGACATTTCGCTCGCACGGCTGTTCTGCTCTGGAACGGGACTCAGGTCGTCCAGCTGACACGGCCAACAAAAGCGAAAAAGGTCATGGGTTGTCCCCAATTGAAGGGGAATCGCATTCAGCTTCGCTTCACCCGCCCAACATCTTCTTCCCCCAAGCCCAGCCTCCCCTCTTTCCGCTCTGTTCTGTTGTGCAGAGCCCAAAAAAACACAGCAAGGCCTGTATTGTGCACCTAATGAATACGACACTCCACACTCTCACTCACCTAAACCGGGCCAGTCTGCTGACTCGGTTCTGTAACTGATTGTACTCGTGACACTTATTTTTTTTGCGGGCGGATGGGTTTGCTGCCTCCAAGGCTCCAAACGCTCCATCTGAATTCCCCAAAAAGAAACTCCAGCCAAAGTCTGATGTCATTGCCTAGAAGGAGGTACTTTACCCCTCCATCCGCCGTCTGTCGTCCCGCCTCTTCCACCACGCCGCCCTGAGTTCGATAGTATTTCCCCCGCATACGAACCATGCTGTCATCCTCTCTGACACCCAAACTCAAAAAGCTAGGCATCTCGTTGCCGTTCCCATGTCTCTGACATGCTCCATCCTTCGTCATTCATCCCTCATCGTCTTACACACCGCCGTCACTGACGAAACTGGCGCTGCTACCTTGGGAAAAAGAGACAAGAGGGGCAGGCAAAAAGGGACAAGAGCACTGCCGAGAGAACGAGGTCACTTGCACATGTGGGCGCATGAATCACGATCCATGTGGTAAATACCAGACACACGCTCGCTTTCTCATCCCCATAAAATTTTCTCCTCGAAAGGAGGGGAAGGGTTCAGACGGTAAATAAAAACAAAGGAGGCTGTTTTTGGGGACGTCCAATCCCCGGCTGGTTATTTGCACACACAGTGTGCGGTTGCAGCCAAGCATACCCCTTCCTTTGGATATCATGAACTGGCCCAAAGATCTAGCATCGTAAAGCTTGGCGGCGGATCAGACGACAAAATCAATTTTCCAGTCTGCAGATGCCGCGCCTCCGAGCCGCATGAAGTGTGTAGGAAGGGACAAAGGGCTACCTTAGTCTGTGATTTATGGTTGCTTGCTTGCCTTTAGACAAATCCCTCGTCGCAAGATTGCACCAGGAACTTAATGGACGTGAGCAATGAAAGCTCAGATTCATTTAAACATTTTGCGAAAGGCACTTGCGAATTGATGTCTTCACCAGAACAAATGAAGTGAACCAAAACTTTTTCATATTCCACCCTCGAATCTCGTCGAATCTCGAGAAATGGTGACTTTCCAGCAACTAGTCCGTCAACCCGAACGGCTGTTTCAAAAATTATCGATCCTGTCGAACGCCCATCATCCCGTATCATTAAGTCATACACTTATTTATTCAACCTCCAACACAGCGGGAGCCTTGACCTCCTTGCCACTGAACTTCTCCAAGCCCTCGCCGCCGTAGCTGAAAAGCGGCGAGACCTCGACGCCGTCCTCGGTGCTCTCGCCAGTGACGATGCCGCCAGCGGCCTCGATCCAGCGCTTGCCCTGAAGCATGATGTCGCGCTTGCTGGTATCGGGGTCGTCCTCGCCGGTGCCGCGGGCGTTCTTGAGAGGCGAGAACTCATCCTCGCGCTTCACCTCCATGGAGGCGAACTTGCTCAGGTCCAGCATGGGAAACACGTCGAAGACGAACTGCTCCAGCTTGATGCCGTTGGGCTTCTCGGGCTTGACAGTCTCGCCAGACTTGAGATCGGCATAAGGAATCTTCTTGCGGGCAATGTGGTGAGGCAGCTTGTGGGCCCACTGGGGAATGCTCTCGAGGAAGCGGAACGAGTAGTAGTGGTTGACAATGTTGGCGGCACGAAACTTGAGCACGCCGGGCTGCTTGGAGTCCTGGGCCTCGGCAGTCTCCTTGTCAATTTCGGAGTACTCGACAACGTCGGGCTTGCCGTTCTTGAGCAGAATCAAACCGACCGACTCGGTAGCGTTGCGCTTACGAACAACCTTGGTGGTGATGTCGACGTCCTTGGAGGCAGAGAAGCCAATGAAGACAGGGTCGGCAACCTTGACGAGGCAGTTGTCGACGCAGTAGGCGTGGATGTGCTCGATGCCCCTCTTGCGCATGTCGCCCATCACATCCGAGACGACGAGCGCCTGGTAGATACCTCCGTTGCCATCAGGGGCAACTGCGACCTTGCCCTTGGACTCGAGAAGAATCTTGCCCTCGTTCGAGATGCAAGGCAGCACGCCCTGCTCGAAGATGAAGACGTTGGACTTGTCCAGGCCGAAGTAGTTGTTCTCCTGGAAGTACTTCTCCGTGGGGCCGCGAGTGGGGCCGGAGGTCATGACGTACCACGGGACGACGGCCTTGCTGGTGCCGGCCTTCTTGGCCGCGAGCTCCTGGACCTTGCGAATACGCTCAGCCTGGATCTGGAAGAGGGACTTCTTGCTGGGGAGACCAATGTCGTAGCAGCCCTTGGGCGCAGAGCTTCCGAGTCTGGTGCCCTGACCGCCTGCCATCAACACAACAGCCACCTTGTTCTGGCCGATCAGGTCAAGACCTGACTGGTACCAGCTCTCAATATCTTCGGGCTTCGAGTCGAGGATACTGGCGGTGGCGGATTCGGGCAGGGGCTCGAGACCGGACTGAGTGGAGGCATCGTCGGTCTTGGGAGGGTTCAGGGCGCGATCGGTGATCTTGTTGATGTGCTCAGGGTCGAAGCCGGACAGCTGCTGGTAGAGTGCAGCCTTCTCGGAGGAGGGGAGGTCGTCGTAGAAGGTGAAGACCTGGTCCTGGCCAGCCTTGGCGTATTTCTCCTTGAGCTGAGAGAGCTGCTCGGCAGAAGGCTCGGTGGCAGCAGGCTTGTTGGAGCCAATGTTCAGAGCAGACTTGATTGCCTCCATGTTGGGTGGTGGGTGTGGTGTGGGTATCTCTGTGGGGGAAGCTATCAGTCAAGTCAATTGGGGCTGCTGATGATCAGAAAGCAGTCTGATGTGATGATCACAGAAGAATAAAGGTTGAAGGCTGAAGCAGTAAGGCAGGAGAAGACGAAAAGGCGGAAGAGATCAAGTAAACAAATGAGGTCGACAGGAGGTAGCTTACCTTACTTGTAGTCCCCGCCAAAGACCCCTCCATGGTCCAAATATAGTGCCGTAAAGGGGGGCAAGCTGGGTGGTCGTTGTCCAGGTCCCCGCTAGGTTGTCAGGTCAGATCAATTGGCTCAGTCGCTTTCAGATGGGATGGAGCCCCTCATTCCAGGGCAGCGAGACGCCTTCAGGGCATGATAGGTCGCTTTCAGCTGCGAGCCCCTCACTCCAGTTCGTTTTCAGGGGACGCTCGGGAGCCAGCCACATTAGCACATGGCGAAATGCTCCCGGGAAGGGCGATTCAGGGCCTGCACCCTACGTAGAGGGTAAAGTGGCTGAGTCAACGTATTTGCAGCGTACAGGTCCGGATACGAGGACGAGGAGACTCGAGCTGGAACGCTGCAGCACGGAAGCGCATCCTTAGCTCACGTAAGAAACTTGGTGAGACGTGATGATCATCATCATTCGGCAGCCATATTGGTTGCGGGAGTCGGGGCTGTGCGACTTTGGGTGGCAGAAACTTGGCGGGAGGCGCCGCTAGGTGAAAGGCAAGCTGTCAGAAAGTAAGGTTGGTAGGCGCAGGTAGGTAGACAGCTAAAAGGCGCCATCGTGCAAGACTGTTGAATAGCAAGTAGTGCCGAGATCCTGGTTTGGCAAACCGCAGGCCTCAACTAACATGTAGATGCTCTTTAGTTAATCCACTCATCGAATACCTATCTTGGAGACGTAACTTGCTAGAGGACAAAACCTCATCGGAGGAGATGAAATCGAGTAAGGAGCTCTCAGTCTCAAAAGAAATCAAGACGTGACTTAGCGGTAGTTCAGCACAGGCGAAAAGAACCGTGCTCTAAACCTGAGAGCTTTCTTCTTGGTAAGGCAGTCAGTCATGAGAGCTTCATTTCATCAATTATCTGAAAAGAAACGCCGGCCGAGCATACAGCAGACCTACTCTCCCATCGTGTTTTCTGGAATCTCAGAATGACGGCATGCTACCAGCCCTGCGCGTATGCTTGATCAGGGCCAAAGACCGCAAGGTGGTTATTCTGCCCGCTCGCTTGAAATTAGGCTTTGATGTACGAAAAGACAAGATGAGTTTAATTCGAGAAAAGAAAGGAAGAAAGACATAATAGAGACTGGACCCCTCCTCAGTCTGTCTACCTGCTCTTATTTCCAACCTACATACCTGTGATACGTAGACTACCTACCCGGGAAGTGACTCTCGTGCCTCATTCTCGAGTGCTCCCTCCTCTCCAGGCCTGCCCTGCCTTACCGCCCCTCCATCATTAACATCATTAGGCCCTCCCCGTTTCCATCCTTTCAGCCCCAAATTGCCCGGCCGGCATCCGTCGCCAGTGGTTAAGCAGGCACGAATATGCGTGTAGGGGCATGTCCTGATCGCCTGCATCCGCACTGTGCAGGCCCCTTGCCGCGATACACGGTGCAAGGACATTGGTGGACGGGAACCCTTTAGGTGAGGTGGTGCAACACCCTGTGCCTGTACAGTGGGAGAGTGGTGTCGCTGATTAGCGCTCCAAGTCCTCACATGTAGTGGAGGAGCCTGCCCGCCCGCCCTGGATCGGATTGGGTCCCGTTTGGCTTGGCTCGTGGTCGACGTCGCCGCCGCAGACTGCGCTCCAACTGCCGAGATTTTCTTCCATCCTCTCCCATTCGCTTCTTGACCGATCTCTGTTACCGCCCTCCCACCCAGAATTTCCCCCCCAGAGAGAGAGGACAGGCGAACGGTCTTATCCTTCGCTTTTTCTTTCGTACCTCCGCTCTTTTTTCTGGTTTTGGTTCTGGTTAGGCTCCTTTCTCTTTTCCTTTTCCTTACCGGCTCGACGCGGCGATGTTATGGACCCTGTTCGTGAAAATCCTCTTCGTCAGCTTCCTCATCGCTTGGTGGCTTAAACGACCTCAGGGCCGCTTCTACAAAGCCTTACTCTACGCCGCTTCAGCCGCCGTATTCTATCTCGTCGCCCCCCTCTACGCTTCCCTCTGCCTTGCCTGGTCCGTCCACTACACCCGCGAGAGCATTCGGTACTGGAGTCTAGATGAGTTGCTTCTTCGACATGCCAGCATGTTGGTGACACTCGCCGCAGTCATTTGGTAAGTTGCTCCGCCCTGCCTTCCACATGCAATCCTACTGCCAACTCCCTGCCGCCTGTCTTGCCTGCGCCAATGCGACTGACACGTCCCCGTCTAGGCTGCTTCACCGTGCCTGGCAGACCCTCTGGAAGCCCACTACCGACCTGATTAGCATTCTTGGAGTCGACGTTCCCGAAGCCCCCGATGTATCCCTAGCCGGTATTAAAAACGACGCCGCTACCCTCAACTGGACGCGCCCCTCTCACAACCGGCCTGTACAAAAGTTTTTGATACAGGTCAATGGTGTCAATGGTGAGTACAGCCAACGAGGCCTGTCGTGCGCTGTGTTGTGGGGTTCTGACACACTGCTGCAGTTGGCGAATCGAGATCTGAGGAAACGGCGATTACTGTAACCGGCCTCAGGCCCAATCATTGCTACAACATTCGCGTCATCGCGGTCGGTCCGAATAACTTCCAAGCTGGGAGCCAAGTCATACGATTACGCACATACCGATCTGATGGACGTCCAGAGCTAGGAAACTCCCGCCTGCCCGACAGCTTTCAGGACCAAGAACCCCGATCCAGTCAGACCCAGTGCACTGAAGAGAATGGCGGACGCAGTCAGATTCCTACTATCGAGGCGGCCCCCTCCCTCGAGCCCGGATCGGCCACCGCACGGGAGCCCACAACCAGTGCCGGCCAGAGGCGCAACACCGTCAACAGAAGACACTCCCCGTCTATAGCGAGCCAAGAACAGCCAACTATCAAAGATCTGTCGGGCGACCATCCCGAGGCGTCATTGAAGGATTTGGCCGACACTCTCGAAAAGCAACGGAAGGAGATTGACGATACAGCTGCACTGCACACGACCGAGGAGACCGAGTTCAGGCAGCTGGAACAGCGCCTCAAGAAAGAGAGGGATGAAAAGAAGAGAGTACAAAAGGAGAAGGATGATGCCACCGCACAACTCAAACAGAAGGTCAAGGCTAGTTACGAACAAATGCGCCAAGCCAGCAAAGACAAGGCGAAGAAGGAAAATCAACTCAAGGAGAAGCAAGATAAGCTCAAGAAGGTCCGCGACAATATCGACAAGTGGACTACCGATATCGAGAACATGCGCAAGACGCGCGACGGTTTTGCTGCCGAAAAAGAAAGCCTGGAGAAGGACCGCGATCTCAAAGTGAAAACTCTGAGCGAAGAGAACGCGGCTCTGCAAGAGGAGTTTGACCAGCTTGAGGCCGAGTACAAAGAAAAGAGGCAACAACTGAAGGAACTCGAAGACGAACGCAAGAAACTACCCGGTGGAGAAGAAGACGATACTTGGCGAGAAGACGACCGGAAGATGAAAAGGGACTTCGAGACCAAGCGGAGAGAGCTCCAGAGTCAACTTATCATGGAGAACAGGAAAGCTCAGCAACTCGACGGGCACTTGCATATGCTAAACGCTCAAATGTATGCTGCAACTCAGCAAGGCATCAATTTCTTCAACCAAGCGAATTCCTCCGGCGTCGACTTTGAACAGAACGTACCGGTACAGATCAAGCGAAGAAGCCGAACCGGAAATTCAATGTCGAATGCGGCCGTTCCGTCTCCGACAGGACTTTACTCCGCCTCGGATTCTCCGTACGCCCCTCCAATCGGTTTCGGGGGTCGTTCGGGGTACGGTCAGTTTGGAGACATGCAGGCCAACGAGGGATTACCAACGGAACAGTTTATTGAAGCAGATATGCGAGCCCTCACCGCGGGCGCTCCGTTGAGCCCCACAGCCCAGATGCTGCTGCCATCCGGAATTTTAGGCGACGACTTCGATGATGAGCCTCATAGCCCCAACTCGTTTTCTCGAAGGAGTCCTTTCGCGCCAGATCAGCACAACGATGCTCATTCGCCAGCGCCGTCCGGCAATTCCAAAAGTGCACATTCTAGTCCTCCGGGGTCATCTCACCAGCAGAACTTCCCTCCTTTGTCCTCAGACATCGCCGACCGCACATCCCTTAAAGATGTGGCTACTTCTTCGGGCCCACAGCCGTCGCCATCGGGGCACCGGCTTGGAAATCTGTTCGCGTCTTTTCAACGCAACAGAGGCGGGAAGAGTGCCGAGGAAGGCGGCCCACTTCTTGGTAGCCTGAAGCATGGTCAAAGCCAATCTTTCCCACGGCAAACCGACGATTCAGAGCCATCAAACAGACGCCGGACTAGTTTCTCATCGTACACGCAGAATCGGAATTCCGCTGGACCAGAGACTCTTGACGGAAGCACATCATCGCTCGTACCCAAAGGTATGCTATCGTCGGCTAGGCGTCTCATGCCTTTTGGCGGTGTCTTTGCAGATCGCGATCCAAGCAGCCCGAGACCTGCTTCCATGGCATCGGCAGACATGCCACGCCCATCCACAGATAGCGGACCCTCTATCTGGGGTCACCCGGGAGACAAGAGTCGCTTCTGGACAGACAATAATGTGTGGACTTCTCGGAACCCGTCTAGGCGACCATCGATCCACGGCTCCCCTGCGGCTTTGAAGACAACCTTGGCGTCGGAACAAGATGAGATTCTCCGCGACGAGGTGCTGAAAGACCCCAGTCAAGTTGGTGTCATCGGAAGCAGACCACCAGGCAACAAATTGACTGCAGACGCTAGAACTTTGAGTGGGCGTCTCAATCCTGCAGCACCGACTTTTATCGGAGGTCTGTTCGGTTGGAAGGAGAAGGACGGTGATCCGAGCAAAGACAAAGACAAAACCAAATCCAAAGATAGGTCCAAGGACAAGGGCAAGGACACGAAGGAAAAAGCAAAGGGCAGAGATGCTTCTGCTCCCAGCCTCGACTTGCCCCAAGGTTACGATTCTTCTCCGAATGAGTCCAGAAAGTCTCGCGATGCCTTCTCCATCCACACGCAAACGTCGGTCTCTGAATCTCGAGAGTCTTTGACCCTGGATCGAGCGTTATCCAGCACGCTTTCTGACCCGAACTCAATCGCCAAAGATCAGGAAAATGTTGTCCGCAAGCTCTTTAGGAAAGGAAGCTCTAGCAAGTTTAGTCTGTCTTCTCGGCTCAGTAAGGAATCCGGGCTCTTTAAGAAGGGCCCCGGAAGCACCACGAACTCGGACAAGAACATGTCAGCGGAGAGATCTAGCTTCGGCGACATTGACGACTACGGTGAGGAGGGTCTGGTCGGTCGCAGCTATGAAAGCGTCTCCGGCAGTCCCTCCTTCGGCCCGTCCAAGTCCAAGGAGTCGAAGGAAAGCAGAATGACGGGCTGGAGCAGCAAGTTTTCCATGAAGAAGAAGGGCAAGGACAACAAGGAAACCCCCGAGTCACATCGGGCCCTCGATAGCGATGTTGATGAGGAAAAGAAGGACATTTGAGTCCCAGCGTCAATTACCAGGCAGTCTTAGCTACGTAGTGCTCTTCGACAAAAAGAAATAAAAGCAAAAACTCCGCGATTCCATTTTACCTTACTGCCTCTTATTGCGCTTATTGTGAAGAGTTCCGCTGCAAGGTACGGTATAAGCCCAAAAGCAAAAGAAAAACAGCATTACGCAACAAAATTCGAGAAACTAATATCGTCGTCAGTATATTATCTCTTTGCGTCTTGTTGCTTGTAGTTCTTCACAGCCGTGTGGAAAGGGAAGGCGGTGAGGCTCCCCCGGCGGCAAAAAGTCTCAATTAGCAAGCTCCGTCCGAATGCACGGGCACCTCCATCCGAGAGCTCTGTCGCTCTGTATTTACCCACCTTCGACGACGGGCCACTATCGAACCACCCGCGCAAACCCAAACGCCCGCCAACGACGAGAGAAACGACAACCGGTCGAAGGGCGACCACGCACAAGCACGACCTGCGGCGTCGTTTCCGAGCAACCGATACAAAAGGTAGGACCCCCAGCGGGTGTCCAACGCAGATCTTCCCCCGGGACATCGTTGATGGCCGCGATGGCGGCTCCGAACCCGACCGGCGGCGCCGGCGAGGGCCTGCCGATGCCCTCGCGCAACCCGCTCCCCCTATCGGCATCCCAGGAGGCGCAGATCAGAGACATCTACCACCAGCGTGTGCGCAGCGCCTGTGCGCCCGAGATCAAGGGTACTGTTCCCCCCCCCCCCCCCCCCCCCCCCCCCCCCCCCCCCCCCCCCCCCCCCCCCCCCCCCCNCCCCCCCGTCTCCCCGGCCAACCCCTCGTTTCCACGTCAGCCTACCTAGGCGGGGGAACTACAGCGGGAACACCCGGGCCAGTCACTTCTGGCGATACAGTAGAGAAGGTTAGCTAACACATTGTGCTCGCAAACAGCATTCGCAGATTGCGCTCTAAATAGGACATTCACCGTCTCCTTCGTCTGCAGCGACCAGCTGCGGGCGATGAACGGGTGCATGAAGGCGCACGCCACGCCACAGAACCACGACGCCGCGCGCGAAGAGTGGTTCGCCAAGAGGCTCGAGAGGCAGCGCGAGCGCGAGCGCAAGGCCGTCAAGAAGTCACAGCAGGAGGACTTCATCCGCGAGTGGTGGGGTCTGCCCGAGAAGGACGCCGAGACGAGGAGGAAGGAGGAGGAGAAGATGAGGATGGCCGAGAGAGTTGGCGGGTATGCTGCCCGGGACCGCAAGCGGTGGGAGGAGGAGCAGGCGGCGGCGGCTGCTGCTGCGAAGAGGTGAAGAAAAAGAGGAAGACGAGGACGAGTGGGAGAGGATGAGTGCATCGTAAGCCCAAGAGGATAAGGGTGGTGGAAAAAGGGGTCGGCGCGGGGCCGGTCGAAGAGAGTTCAGATGCATATATGTTGGGCGTTCCGGACTCGTGGCTTGGGACACCCTGCTCTAACGGCGCAGACATTTCGGCGTGTATAAATATATCAACACCATGTAGACTACAAATCACCAAAAAGGGGGCCGAAGCCGAGGAACGGCGGTCATGATCATCGAACATTTGTAAAGGTCTCCTTCTAAGAGGACCTCCAACCTTTCTATTCAGTGACATCCGCATTCCGAGTCTAATCTTTTCTCTATGTAGCTTTCAAATGCCATAGGTCTTGTTGACTCTTTTGTGCCCTTGCAATCGTAAGATTCCTCCCTATAAACGCCAGAGTCCATTTCAGAAACACAGATACGACTTGATCGGAGCCCACTAGGCCTTATTTCCCAGGGACTCGGCGGGAAGAGTGGCAACCTTCTCCTCGAAGAGCTTGGTAGCGCGGACCCAGACCGGGTTGGTGCGCCAGTTCTTGAGTTCCAGGAGAGTCGGCAGCAGGTCATTGCTGAAGGCCTCGGAAGCCTCACGGGGCAGCAGACTAGGCAGGTGGTCGATGCTGATAACGCTCAGGGGCGGGTTGTCGTAGCCCTCAACGGGGACCGTGGGCTTGTCGAATGTAGTGGCGACGGTGTAGATGGGGACTAAAACATTTCACTTAGTACAAGCTGAGAGTGGCTCGTGAGATTGCGACTTACTAGGGTTGTGGGGGTTGGTGGTATCAGCACTGCGCCAAAACAGTTAGCATGCGGTCATGAGGATAGAAGGAGTTGTGGTGAACAAACCTAACGTCGCAAACAACGCTCAGCTTGCGGCCAGGAGCCTTCAGAGACTCGTGGTTGACGAAGTGGCCAACGGGCTGGTTGAGGTAGATGCAGTTGACGAAGATGTCAGACTCAACAATCTCCGGGAAGGTCTTTCCCTTGCGCTCAGGAGCGGTTGTCTCTTGGATATCCCACTTCAGGATATCTGCGATGCCAGCCTTCTCGGCCATGGCAACTGCGCCACGTCCGCAACGGCCAAGGGCTCCGATGACCATGACACGCGGGGTGTAGCCTGCCTTGGCAACACCCTCAGCCAGCGCCTTCTTCACGTCTGCGATCAGAGCATCCTCGTTGGGGTAGCTCTCAACGCTGGGGTAGGGCTCGCCAGGGTGAGTGAGCTGCCAGGCCCAGTTTGAGACCGCAAGCGCGGCACCTGCGAAACCAGCGTGGACTATTTATAGAGTTAGGACTGTGACAGAATAAGGAAATATTCAGCAACTGAGAATTACTCACAGCCAAAAGCTGCCACACGGCGACCGGAGTCATCAGCCAAGAATTCCAAGTCGAGGAGTGTGCCGTTTCCGCGAGGGTAACGGGACAGGGCCTCAGCCCAGCCACCTTGCCTAATACATTGTCAGTCATAGAGACACGGGACCTTTATTCAGTGCTAATGGCATCGTACTGCTTGTAGCAATGCTATCACCAGTTAGCGTGATTCCAAAAGTTTCAAGTCCAGGGCTGCATACTTGGAAGTGAATGTAGGTGTGGCCAAGAGGGCTCGTTCCCTCCTCAATCTCCTTCAATCCCAAAACGAAGTATCTTCCGCCGTCAGGGGAGGAGGCGGTGGGGACATCCTTCCATGAGCCGGTCTCGACAAGCTTCGCGCCTGCCTCCTCGAACTCCTCATCGCGGAAGAACCTTTGGTATTCCTTCTGCTTGGGGTTCTTCTCGACATGAATCTCGTATCCAGCCTTGATGAGGGCTCGGGTCGTGCTCGGGGTGAGGGCACTGCGGTGCTCCAACCACTTCGCAATCGTTAGCAATTGCACTCTCGAGGTCACTTCGAGGGGCAGCCCAAAGCAATTGCGACAAGAGCAGACAAACCTTGGTCTCGGCGCGAAGATGAATGATAGGGGCAGACATTGTCGCAGTTTTTGCAGAAAAAAGAATTGACCTGAATTGACTCAATTGCGCAAGTTTATGTGTCGAGGGGAAATGTCGCGACGTCCAGGAAGGTGTTGGGGAGAGGAGCTTGAAGTATGATGATGGTGGGGTAGTTATGAGTCTACGGTTGGCAAGGTAAAACATCCCACCTCTGACTCCTACAGGGAGTTACAGTAGGGGATCGTACACCGCCTTCGGAGCGCGGGGTACCTTACAATGAGATGGCAGTGACTCAAAGTTTTTGCCCTGGCCTCAGCTCCTTCCATCCCGTCAACCAAAAAAAAATCTTTTTTCTCAGCTGCTGCCGGTGATTTATCCGCCAAATCAAGCATGTCCGTCCGCTCATGCCAACCGGCATGTCATGCAGGTACCGAGCCTGCAGCCACCAAACAGTCGTCCGAACCAGTCTATTCTCAAAATTTGTCCCCGATGATTGTGGCCGATGTCGCAACAATCTTTACTATGGTGCCAGGGTCCACAGCATGATCACCTTATCGACGGGGCATTTGAGGTTGGCATCCCAGCCAACAGCAAACTGCCAATCACAATCGCGACAAATTCAATTGTGCTCCTACAGCCGCGCTCTGGGTTTTTGATGTTGAAGCAACCCGAGCGCGCCCTCGGCCACGCCCCAGGACAACTCGAATCCTCTTCCACCAAGCCCGTAAGCGTGGATGATGGTCCGGCCGTCACTTACATCCTCTCGCTCAAGTCTCATGCCTCCTCTGCGCGTAGGACGACGGCCAACAACGTCTTTGAGAACGCGATATTCGCCGCTGTCACCCAGAATCGGAGGGTAGGTGGCAGCAAAGGTCTTCAGGATCTGTTCCCGCAATTCTAGCGATGGCTCAACGTCCCAATTGTCTGGCTCCTTGGTGCCTCCGACTATGGTACCGCCGTCAAAGTTCCGAGGCACACAAAACGTCCAAGATCCATCCGCATTCTGTCGCGTCACTGTTGCCAGGCTGAAGTTGGCCACTGCACAAGTTTGCCCTGGTGATGTATTAGAAGACTCATTGTGCGAAGAAGTCAAGGGATCACAAACCTCTGGTGATGAACGAGTTCTTGTCACCAAATCCGAAGCCAGAGCAGTTGACGACTGTCCGTGCGTCCGACAGCTCCTTGATACCAAAGACCTCAAGAGGGTCGCTGAGCTCTTTGCGAATCACCTTGCCTCCGTTCCATGCGAACTTACGCAAGAGGAATGAGCAGTAAATCATTGGGTTGACACACCATGTCTTATACTCGCAACCCCACTTCACCTTGTCGTCGGGAAACTCGCTGGGACTCAGACGCCTGAACCCGACCAACCCAAGGCTTTTGGCTTTCTCCTCCGTGAGCGCCTTATATTGCTCTGGAGGATCCTCGAGGTACTCGATACCGGGCATAAAAGTGATGCCCGCCTCGGGATTGCTTTTGAAGAGCGACTCCATATGCCGGAATGTTCTCAGAGCCATGGCGTGATCACGCTCCTCCATCTTGTTAGCCGGTATCACCCATCGATTGTGCGCCCCGCCCCATTGCGATGTGTAGTTGATTGAAGCCTTGGCGTCAATGGTCTCGAATGGGCTCGGAAAGTCCCTGGCGACAATCGTGACCTGGTTTCCTTCTTGCTGGAGTTTTACGGCGGTGCTCAGACCGATCACACCGGCGCTGGATCATCTTAGCTGCTGCACACTGACAGGAGGGGCTGTGTGGGGTGATTACCCGATGACTACGATCTGCGACATGATTCCGGTAATATAATCTCGATGTTGCTGTGTCTAGGCTCAAATATCGTGAGACCTCCACGGAGTTCGACCCAATATATGGGTTTTATCCAATCGTCGTTGAGTCAAAGGTATTACTGAAGCCAACGCGATCCTCAACTTAGCGGTGGTCCGGTCTCCACCTTTAGCTCCAACAACGCCGACCTCGGGAGTTGTTCCCGGGGGCGCCCGGTCTGGCGAGCGTTCGGCCGAGAATGGGGGTTCCGGTCAACGGGAATCTGACCCGAAGGCCGCACCGACGCCGGCTGATACTACTACCGGTCAATACATACTTTGGTCGAATATGGTCCGCATTTGCACTGAAATATTGATTCTACCTTCAGGCCAGAAATAGGCCCGTTGGTCAGGGATTCTTTGGTACTCAAGTACTGTGGACAGCACCTCAGATTTGCAACGGACTTGATCTTGCGACTTAACTAGAAGCAGCGCCGAAACATGAAGCTTTCTACATCAGCAGACTCTCGATCTCTTGAGACTAGATATTGGACCTTTCCCAAGGAATCATGGCACGATTTTGCTTTTTTTCGAAGCTACCTGGAACGGAGACCTGCATGCCGACCGCATTCGGCCTGGCCCTGCGCAGAGACGCAGCCAGACCCAGGCGAGGTGCTCAATCAGCCGGCCACATTTCGTTCCTGCGTCGCATTTTCACGTCGGCGCCCAAGAGAAGTGCAGGTCGGCATCTCACTAGCCAAGGCGGTCAGAGTCGAAGAAGTTGCACCAATTTTGGGGTGTTGACCAATCGCACAATGCTCGCGTTCAACCAACCCCGCGCGCCTGTCTCTCAACCCCCTGGTCTCGGCGGCTAGGACGCAGTGTGATGGCCCGGTTGATTGGCCCAGCCCGCATCTCGCAATCTATTTTCGTCTGGCAACTCGACCACCCTCCTGCCCATCCCCTCCATCTTCTTGGCTCTCACCACTCATCGCGGCCCGTCAGACAAGCCAGCGCTTACCAGGTCTGCCGTGGGCGACCTGCCGTAGTTGAACCCAGTATGCTCCGTAGTGCCGGCGCTTTAATGCCAGCAGAGTATATACTCTCGTGGTTCTGTTGGCAATCGTATGTTGACATGCCTTTTTCCCCTTTCATCTGGTTATCTTGACCAGTGCTGCAATAACAAACCGACGTTCTGTTTGTTCTCAGTTGCCGGCTAGTTGGGGCCATGCATCGGTAGCAGTTGGACTACCTATTATTCATTCCATTGTGGCATCCCCCCTTTACTTGGGAAGAGCCTGGAAAGCATTAACCAAAGGGGAATTCCAACGTTCGATTCGAGAAGCAACACAGCCCGTCATGTCGGCTCAGCCACCCTCTGGAGGGTACTCTCTCTTCCCGAACCCCAACACCAAGCCCCCAACGGTACGGAGACCGGCATCTCGGACTCGAACATCAGAGTCTCGCGAACGCTCGCGGACTCGGGCTGTGTCTCCGGAAACCATCGACTCGGTATCCCCACCCCGCCATGGAAGACAGACACCGCAGCAAAGGATGCAGTCGCCGGTTGAGCGATCGCAAACACCGCAAGAAATCCGTCGACCCCAGCCCAGTGAGCAGCACAACTCACCAATCAATCGCGAGTTGCCGCCACTGCCTTCAGAGGCAGTTTCGCCTGTCCAAAGGCCTGCTCCCACTGCTGAAGTGCCACCTCGGTCAGACACTGCCTTCTCTCAGGCGCAGACACTAGCACGGAGCAACAGCCATCGCTCTCGCAGCTCCATAGCAAAGCTTCCTCTGCCTGGAGAGCCGTCATCGTCACAAGAGCCTGCTGCTCTTCGGTCCATCTTTCCCCAGTATAACCCCGAAGTGCCGCTCAATCAACAGGAGTACTTCCCGACTCAGACCAGTCCAACTCATATTCCCAGGGCTGTCATTAATCGTACAACGTGGTATCCAGAACGAGAAGAGGATGGGCAAGAGGCTCAGCACAGAAGCCCGGTGAGAAGTCCAATGAGTGGCGGTTCAGCACCAAGATGGCCTAGAAGGAGGATCGAACCTCCCATCATTCCCAACGTTTCGACAAATGAGCAAATGAAGAACATGTGGAAGGTCACCAACGGCTGGAAAGCCTCCCCTTCTGAAGGCAGAGTGTACTGCATGAAGCTATCCCAGGAAAAGGATGCTCCGGTCTACACCTTGTCCTCGACATCTCAACCATTCTACAACCTCAGGCTCGATCCCACATCTGCATCCGCATACGTTACTCTCAGCCGGCACGACCCTAACAAGGTCTACAAGGCCCCGAGCCCAACGGCAGGCTCTTCGGCTAGTAGCATCCTCAGCGGCGTCGTCGGCAACAAGGACAACGGCAAAGGCACTGAGAGTAAACACTGGCAAGAGGTCCTCACCACCACTCTCGAAGAAGAATCCCGCAAGCATCCTCCAAATGACGGCCTGGTTGCCCTTCTCTATCCCCAAGCAGCGGCCAAGATGGCCCTGGACAGGCCAGACGACATGACCGCCATCGTCACCGCAGAAACGGAGTGCGCACGGCTCGTCTGGGACGACGACTCCAGCTCGCACTTCGTCGTCCACCCAGCGTTGGCCACGCCCTTCTGCGTCACCATTGAGCGCTCACCCGCCTGGAGCCGGGTCGAGTACACCTTGGAGCACCACGAGTCGCCTCAGCACCTCGCCAAGCTGACCCGTGATGGCACGGGCGCCGGCTTCCTCGAGGTTGACACAGCCATCGCCTCCAAGATTGAGAGCTTCTTCATCGTCGATGTCGCCGTCACGGCGCTGCTGCTAGTTGCGGCGAGCGACGAGAAAAACTCAAAGGTTGAGACTTTCGAGCCTCCTCCCGCACCGCGCGAGCCTGCTGGCGGCGAACGCCGGCTTAGCAAGCGGGAGGAGAAGAAGCGTGCGGCCGCCGCGCGCAGGGGCAAGATGGAGGAGTTTGAGATCGACGTCGAGAGCCAGGACAGCAGCCTTGGCAGCTTCGCGAAGCTGGAACAAGTCGGAAAGGAGACGCGCGACAGGATGCCGTGGCCGTTGAGGGCGCTGTTCAAAGTCTTGTCCGCTCTTTTCAAGTGCTTCGTGTGGTTCCTGACGATTGGCTTCAAGGCGATTGCTGCCATTGTCAAGGGGCTGGCGAGGTGTGTTGGCGTGAAGTCGAAATGATGACGGGAAAAAAAAAGCATGAGCTTGCATTGAATGCAATAATGAGATACCACTTTGTTGATCCGGATTCCTTTTTTCTAGTATTTCTTTGGGGCCGCATGGTGTTGGGAATAATTGGGCTTCGTTGATGAGACCTTGTCCAGGACGAGGACAGGAGCGATGAATTTCTTTTCTTGTACATCTAGATCTATACTCCGGGGCCTGGGTATCGCATGACGACTTTCTGAGCCTGGCTTCTCACGCCGCTCAGATATTAGGATGAATGAAGAACACGAAAAAAACACCATGAAACTTTTGTTCGCCGACCGCAGATTTGACTGAAAAACGCATCCCGTGTTCACCTCTTCCGTGTCCGAACCATAATCTTCTTCCCCTTCTTCGTCACACCGCCCGAAGTCGCCGTCTTGGCCATCTTCGCCCGCTGTATTTCGAGGTGATCCTCTGTCTTCGCCAAGATCTTGAGTTTCTTCTTGGCGTTTTGGAGCTGCAGCCGTAATAATTGCAGCTTCTTCTCTTTTTTACGTTGCGCCTCCTCCTCGGCATTGTTTTCATCGTCAAATCCCTCGAACTCGTCCTCGTCTTCGTCGTCCAGCTCCATTGCCTCCTTATCGATAGCCTGTTCTCTCTCCTCGGTGCTTTCGGCAAAAACGATCTTTCTAGGTTTTGCGGAGCTCGGCTCGTCGTCGTCGCTATCGTCGTGTGTGGTGGTTGCGTTGATGCCGCCAATGAGCACAATCTGCTCCTCCAGGCGCTTCACCTCCTTGGAGATTACGTTGCGCATGGTGCGGATGTAGCCAACATCCTGCGTCTTGAGAAGACGCACCGTGTCCACATCCATGGCCTTGTTGCCGCGGTCACCCGCGATGGTGCCAGACCATTTCTTGCCATCCTTGAGGCGCGAGCCTGGGCCGGAGCGGCTGAGCATGCCAAAGTAGAACTCATCTTCGTTGCGTTCAGAGGCTTTTTGGCGCAGGTGCTTGATTGTCTCCTTTTTCTTGTTGTAGTCCTTGGCACGGAGGGAGTAATCCTGCAATTCGGGAAAATAGTCAGTAACGGACTTTGACGGGCGCGCATCGTGAGGCCCTGTTTAACGAACCTTGTGCTTTTCGAGGAGACCAAATCTTTGGCGCTCCAAAGGTTGAGCACGCTCCCTGTGGGAGCGCCTCTGTACGGCATTTCGCATAGACGACATGGTTCTGTTGTTTTTGACGCAAGACCACCGCTCGTGATCTGGTTGCTGGGAGGCGTGAATAGAAGGCGACGATGGTAAGCGCTTCTGGGAGGTGGGATGCGGCAGAAATTTGAAAAATTTAGGCGGTGAAACGAGCTCCAGCCACATCGCTCCGTCAGTGTGGCGCTGTCCCCGCTTTCGCCGTTCGTCCCTCGGCCGACAAACTCGGGCCGTGTTGTGGGGCTTTCTGCAGCGGACCACCGTGCCCAACCTGCACCCCCGAGCCGTTGTCAGCCACTCTCCCCACTTGTGGCCGCTACGTAAGTGTGCCGTGCAGCCCGTCAACTAGGTTCAGTCAGCTCTCAACCCTTGAAACATGTCAGGTACCATGAAACGACACGCTATCGCGGCTCGAGCCATCAACCCAGTCTAGTGCCATCTTCCAGAAGACGACTCATGACAGCTGCGGTGTTGTCACGTAAGTCCATGGGCCCTGGGGAGATGGAATGGCACCTACGTATCCGACATGGCAAACCATTGAGCGATTCATCGTGGACAAGGGTATCTTCTCCACGCAGATGGATCGTGATGTGCAACCCACGTTGCATCCGCAACCGCCCGCATCTGTGATCCTCCGTCATGCTGGATGAAGATCTAAATTCTCAGCTCATCTGCATGTTTACAGCAAATCCCATATTCCCCATCCCACCCACGATCCTGGGCCAAGCGGCATCCAAGCCACCGCCGAGCGCGTCCAATCGCGAGGTCATCGGCAGTGCATCCACGGCCACGTCCTGTATGTCCGGGGGATCCCCCCAGCACGGACAGCACATGGTCAGCGCCAACGAACCATGGGTCTCCCTTCGTGTTTCACGGACGACACACACCACAGCAGCAGAGCTTCGAGACGTCAAACGCCGCAAATGGCAAAAGACCTGCACCACGGGCTTCGCGCGGCTGCTGTCCGATGACGAGAGACTCGGAGAAGGGCTGACCTTTCTTTTACAAAACCACCCGAGCTGCCTGTTTCCTCTTGTTTCTTGCAGCTTTCATGTTTTCGTGTTTGTTTCGCTTCCACGTCTAAGCCCGTTTTATTTCATCCAAAATGGTTGCGAAATTTCATTTACGGAATTCTCCTCCGACATATCGGGTGCTTGCCTTGTTTGTCATACTCGTCTTTGTCAGTCTTCTATTTTTGAAGGAGGAAGTCGAGGAGCCGACGATACCACGCAGTAGTTTCCCATACAGCGCGAGCAGCTATGATTGGTCTACACACCCCCAGAAGCATCCCGTGCCAGATGCTGAGATGGCGCGCCTACCCTCAGAAGAGCCACTGGAGCTCCCCAGAATCCAGTTCGAATTTGCGGCGGAACGTTCAGACAGTCTGAAGAGGGATCTCGGCCTCATGAGCTCTCGCCGTCATGAGGTCAGGAATGCTTTCAAGAAGAGCTGGCAGTCTTATGTGAGACATGCCTGGGGATACGATGAGCTGCAACCATTGTCACTGAGAGGAAGGAATCGATACAACGGATGGGGAGCTACACTGGTCGATTCTCTTGACACGCTGTGGCTGATGGGCCTACACGACGATTTCAACGACGCTGTTCAGTATGTGGGCGCCATTGATTGGAACAACTCTACGGATCCAAGATGTAACCTTCTCGAGACGAATATTCGCTATCTTGGAGGCCTGCTATCTGCATACGATCTCAGTGACGAGCCAGTACTGCTCAACAAGGCTATTGAACTGGCGAATATGCTCTACGCCGCCTTCGACACCCCGAATCGGTTCCCGCCGTATACGTTCAACTTTGCAGATCTCAGAGCCGGAAAGGTCTTGCCAGATCCTTACCAGAGCGCTGCATCGATAGGCAGTTTGTCACTGGAATTCACAAGATTGGCTCAAATCACGGGGGAGTACAAGTTCTACGACGCAATCGAACGCATCAAGACGGCTTTCGACCAGATCCAGAATGAGACATTGCTACCAGGACTGTGGCCCAACTTCATCAATGTTCGTGACGATTTCCAGACCCCGAACAATATCTTCCGTCTAGGCGGAGATGGAGATTCGCTTTACGAATATCTGCCAAAGATGCACGTTCTTCTCGGCGGGAACGACCCGGCCTTTGAGAGGATGTACAGGAGCGCTGCGAAGGCGGCCAAGGCTCAACTCTTGTACCGCCCGATGACGCCCAGGATGGACGACGTTCTCTTGCTTGGAACCGCCATTGTGAACGAGAAGCTATTGAAGATCGATCAAATTGCCGAGCTCGAACACCTTTCCTGCTTTGCTGGCGGCATGTTTGCCATGGCTGGCAAGCTTTTTGAGAGCCCGGAAGACGTCGAGGTTGGCGATAGGCTGACCAGGGGCTGTGTGTGGGCTTACAGATCTTTCAAGAGTGGTATCATGCCCGAGAAGTCACAGATCGTCAAGTGCGACACGATTGAAGGCTGCCCATGGGATGAGCAAAAGTGGGCGGCTCAGAGCAGCCGCCATTCTCCTAGGGGTTTCTCGAGGATCGACAACCCCCGCTACAATCTGCGCCCCGAGGCCATCGAAAGCCTTTTCATTCTTTACAGAGTGACGGGACGAGAGGATCTGCTGGACATGGCATGGGATATGTTCCAGGCCATTCAGAAGGCGACGGCGACCGACGACGCTCACGCCGTGGTTGCGGACGTCACTTATTCACAGTCACGACAAGAGGACAGCATGGAGAGTTTCTTCTTTGCTGAAACCCTGAAGTATTTTTACCTGATCTTTTCGGACCCAGAGATGATCAACCTGGATGAATGGGTTTTCAACACACAGGCTCATCCTCTCAAGCGACCCACGGCGTCTTGGAGCGAAGCGTGATTCTCAAGAAAGAAGCGACGATTGTTGTGTTCACTAATATTAATAAGACGTGGTACTCCTCGGTGCCACTGAAACATATATGTTCAGACCATTCAATTTTCTAAATAATGGTACAGATAACTTGAGCATTCGATACCCCTCAGCTTCACAATGACAGACTCTATCACTGTCTAGCTGTGTTGGCCCCTTTCTTTCCTCCTACCCATCTCGTTTGCGGTTATATCTTTGCGTCTGGTGCCTCGAGGAGCTGTATCAGCCCTCAGTGGACTCCAAGGGTCTGCATACGGTCCAATCCCGCTCGAGCCCTGGATCCAGACAGAGAGCATTTTCGACAAGCCTGGCCATAAAATCGTCAGTCTCTACAGATCATTATGAATACGATGGGGATTTCGGATATACTGTTGGATTGGGTTTTGCCTTGCTCTTTACAGCTTTCAGGAGTGTCGTTCGTAAATGCTACAGGGGGGCTCTCGAGCTGCCGAGGCATGACTTCGAGGAATGGGTTGACGGAAAGAATTGGCTTTTGGCCAGATCTATTATTTGAATTATTTGCCTTCAATCATGTAATCACGAGCCAACAAGTATGGTTCATTGGAGCGCAGGGCTTTTATACAACATTTCTAACAGCAAAGCCTGCTACTGCCCTTCATTCTGTGCCGCCAGCATCCTCAGCTTCCCATTCTGGTCGCACGCCTAGCCGTTCATCACACAGAAGGCTACCATATTTTCTTTTTTCGCGCGCAAAAGTCGAGATCGCCTGATCTCCGAGGGCCATGAAGACCAAAAAGGTAGTAGTTCGGTTTGTATCTAAGGAGAGGCTGGTTGTCGAGACTGCCACCGCAAGGTCATAGCGCATCATACGATCAAAAGTGAGGAAATCTTTCGTGGCTGATTGGTTCGCCGGGGTTTTGACGGCAATCTGGATCGAAAACATAATAAGGAAACCTGCCTTAGTGGGCAACATCGTGC